TGCCCAGGAGGTTAGAAGAGGAGAAGCGCCAGGTCACTGCCGCGTTGTAAACGAGAACGAGTCGGGGGAAAGCAAAAGTAGCCCTTCAAGTTAGCAGCAATTACTTTTCTCTTTTTCCTCTCTCTTAATTCTCGTTCTGCACTTGTGGGGATCTAGAGTGGGTCTCGAGGGATTGCGGTGGTTGGGGATGTGCTGCCTCGGATGACGATGGATTCAAGGTCAGCGTACGCTCACAGGAAGGCTCTTCAGCGGTCAAGATTTGTATTTCTGTTTTGTAGCCTTGTCTCTTCTAGAAGCTGTGAACTAAGACCAAGCTGATCTTGTTCTCACAAGGAGTTTTTGCAATTCATAGCTATGTGCTGTAGTCCATCAGTGACAATCTACCTCTGTGCTTACATCTAGTGATATTTTTTGGAAGCGTATTTGTTTCCTAAAGAAGTGAGGCACAGGAGTTGCCCCAGAGCAGCCATGTTCCCTCTGTGCTGTGTCTGACGTGACCGCCGGTCGGCTCAGGGAAATAGTGAAGATGTCTGTCTTCTGCCTGCCGACAGCAGGAGTGAGGTCTGGGCTTGAAGCGTCTTGTGACCAGCATCCTTCCGGAATACGGGAGATGTGGGTGCTTGGCCAGACACATGTCATGTGACCTTTTGCTTCAGGTGCCGACCGGCACGTGAGTGTGGGCTCACGGAGCTCGAGGAGGGGGTTGGCTGTTTAGGCCGAAAATGTACTGTGTCGACGCCTAGGTCTTGGTTTTCGTGAGGCTTGAGTGCGTCGTTACTGGCTTGGCCATGTGTTCAAATCTGATGTGTCTGAGAAAGAAATAGCGTCTGTAGTGCCAGACTGGGAATTCTCTGGAGTCGCAGTTTATGTGTGCTCATGCCTTGTGCAGAGTGCCTGACATCTTTAATTGCTCTGAGTCACTAGCAGCTCAGGTTTGTGTTTGTGTGCGCTCGCTCTCTCTGGAAAGATGCATGAAGTTCCTGTAGAATCAAACTATGAGTGAATTAAATGTTCAATTTTAAAAAATGACGAATTATTGAGACTGCTTCCTATAACGTATGCTGAATCTCAAAAGATCTCCACTTTGTTTTCTGTGCCTACATTGTGTCACAGTTACAATTTGATTTGGTGTATTTTTACTACTAAGTTTAATATCGCTAATTATTGGTTTGGAGTAGGAGCTGAAGAAACAGTAGAGGAATCAAGCTGGGGAATAAAGTTGTCTGTGGATCTTTTATGATTCATGTTCTAAGGCTCTGCTTTACACACCTTTTAAATTATGAGGAAGGACGGTTTTGTTCCATGGATAGAATTATTTTTCAGACTTTTCAGAATACTGTACTTCTGCCATTAGTCTAATACATCTTAAAATGTGTAAGCAGTCTATACACCCCAAGCGGTATCGGAATGAAAGAACACAGGCAGTGTGTTAAGTGGACTTCAGAAATGTTCTCCTATAAAACAAACATGGACTTAGACAATATGCAGAGAGTTTGAAGTTGTGTTTCCTCCATATTCCACATCAAAATAAATTCTAAAAAAATATTTACAGAATTGAAGTTAATTGTGTTATTGCCTGTATGCATGCAAGCATTATAACAAAAGTAAATGAAAGGCTTTGATTAGGAGAGGTTGAATTCCTTAAACAGCAGTGCTGCACAGTTAAAATATTGAGAGTACTGTAGGTAAAAACTAGAACAGCTGAGGAAGGACATAAATATTGGATTGTAATAAAGGCATCACTGCATGCAAGTGAATAGTAGTTGCAGAAAGTAAGTTTTTTTATTGATATTGCAGTTCTATCCGTTGCAATTGAGCCATTTTCAAGTGCTAATTAAAAAAAATCTCTTGGCTATCAAAGAGAATCTCGTTATATAGAAAGGAAAAGAGCACATGATGATGCAGTGATTTGCCAGCTGGCTGGTGCAGTGGCAGAGGTATGCTTAGAGTTGTGCATGTCTGTCGGAGTGGTCAGTCTGTCTGTGCTTGTACTAATACGTGGAGTTTCAGCGCTGTTTCACCTCCTCCAAGAAGACGCTCGATTTATTTCTGTGTGGGAGGCACTGAACTGAATAATCGCTAAGACTCTTTCAGAGATTGTTTAGTAATTGTTTCTTTTGCACAGGATTATTTTGGTGTCTGTTCAGAGGTGATGATCAAGGACAATGTTGTGGTGGTTTATGAGGTGCTGGAGGAGATGCTGGACAATGGCTTTCCATTGGCAACAGAGTCTAATATTCTTAAGGAACTGATAAAACCTCCCACTATCCTGAGAACAGTTGTCAACACCATCACAGGTACAGGGAAACAAAAAGTAGATAAACTGGGGAGTCTGTGTGGCAATATTCCTGCATAAGTAAATTAGGATGTGGGTGAAGAAAATTTATGTTGTCCTATACCATTCTAAACCCCAGCATAGGTGTATGTAGGGAATCCTGTGTTAGTGCTTTGCTTAGAAGTTCCTTCCAGTTCCAGCACCAACTGCGCTTTTTTTTTTCTTTAAATGGAACAGACAGATTACATTTCCAGTAACAGCCATGACATGACTTCCTGAATGAGTTACTTTGGTGTGGGTTTTTCATTGGGGTGGCTTTTTGTTTTCTTTTTTAGTTACACTTCCCCGTGCCTTATTGTGGTATATTTTAGAGTTGGATGTAAGAGAGATGTAAATTGTAGAATACAAACAGTGAGTCTGGAAGGGTAATTGGTCTCCTACAAAGAGAAAGAGGTTCTCGGGGATTAATTACAATTAAGTTATATGAGGCCAAGGACTTGTTCTGGAGCATTGTCTAACTTTTGTGGTTATCGTGATTGCCTTTCTTTTTCCAGGAAGCACTAATGTGGGTGACCAGCTTCCTACTGGACAGCTATCAGTGGTGCCTTGGAGACGTACTGGTGTAAAATATACCAACAATGAGGCGTATTTTGATGTGATTGAGGAGATAGATGCAATCATTGACAAATCAGGTATGGAAATTGCTTCTGGCTAAGACAAGGGTAACTTGTCCTAATAGTGCCTGATTTAGGTTTTCAAAGAGGAGCTCCCTCATTTAAGCGTAGGAAGCTCTATTCCTGTTCTTACTCTGGAGCATTGCCAACTTGTAGGTGCTATTTAGTAAAAAATTTTAGAGAGGTACCAATGTTTTTACGTCTTCTTCCTGTAAGCAATTCTGTATTGGGAAAATAAAAGGTGAGTGAAAATTGTACATAGCACTATCTCCTTAATTTTTATTCGTCTTAGTCTTATTGGAGTTGGGAGCTGTGGTCATTGGCCATTAAAATGGATATTGGTGATGTCAGTGGTTCTTATTTGTATGCATCTTCTCTAGAAGTCATTGGGAATTAGAAAAACGTTGAGCAGGCAAAATGATGATCCATGACATTTCACAAAGAATAAATTTTCTTCCTCCCCATTGATAGTTTTTCCACATTGGGATTTTTTTTATCAGGTTCACATAACCTCCCAGGTTTACTTTATTGTTGCAGGTTCCACAATTACTGCTGAAATCCAAGGGGTGATTGATGCTTGTGTCAAGCTGACTGGGATGCCAGACCTTACCCTCTCCTTTATGGTAAAGTTCAAGGATGTATCTTTACTTAAGTATTTTGAAAAGAATTTCCCAGCCCAGCTACTAGGATCTCAGTCTCACGCTGATGGATTCCAGTAGATCAGAACCTGGGCACGCCAAACAAAACGAGAAAGAACTGGCAATGGAAACTCATAGTGAACTTCAGCAACTTTGAACCTAAAGGTTTTGTTTTCACATTCTTTGTTAAAAGACTGTTAGTGTGTACTGTGACTAAGTTTCTGAGACACAGTGGTGCGTTAGGCAGATATCCTAACGGGCCATCTTTTTTATGACTATGCATCAATGTAATTATTTGACATGACTAAATTTTCTAAAATAGGATAGAGGTTATTGAGTACTGTTATTGCACAAATATAACAGCATTAAATAGTTTAACATGTCTGAATGTAGATACCTTCAAGTGGGCAGAGTGCATCGAATGGTAGGCCCTTTATGGATAGAAGATTGAGAAGAAGTGGAGGTTATTTAAAGTAGTACTGCCTTCACTAACCTTGTGATTTTCTTTTATTTCAGAACCCTCGGCTATTGGATGATGTCAGCTTTCATCCATGTGTACGTTTCAAGCGCTGGGAGTCAGAAAGAATACTCTCCTTCATTCCACCTGATGGAAATTTTCGCTTGCTTTCCTACCATGTCAGTGCTCAGAAGTAAGTGATGAATGTAGTGCTGTGAATTATGAAATTTGGATTTTCCTGGCTAGAGGGGGAGGGGGAAAAAAAAAAGGGAATTGCATTTAAAGATCAGGTAGCATGTTGTGCCAGATGACGTAGAGGTGCATGGTAACTTGCACTTTTTTAAAACACGTGTATTCTAGTTGTTTGGAGCAGTGATTCTGTCATTTCTTTTTGATCAGCCAGCATTTTTCAAAGACTAGTAGCAGATGAACAAACTAGAGAGGAAAGAATAATCAAGCTGTTGATTTCCTATGTTTATAAAAACTTTTAAAATAAAACAAGATAGTTTGGTAATCCTGTTCATTTTTTGACGTCTGTCTTAATAGAACTACAAGTTCTTGTCCACTGTTTGCTCTCCTTTCTAGAAGCAGCTTACCAAGTACTAATTGAGATTACAGATGCTAAAGCATTTTGTTAGTCTTTGTCAGACTTATCTCAAGTAGGTGAAAAGGAGTGCAAAATCCAATCAAAAGCACAAGCATGAAGTGCTGCTGCACTGCCTGGAACTACTTGCCAGCTTGGTTGTAACATGAAAAAAGATTCCTCATCCTTTGCTCAAGTCTCCTGTTATATCAGATGCAGTTACCTGTCCTATAGAAAGGTATAAAGCTAAGTTATGGCAAGCTTGATTAAAAAAAATGTGTAATTAAAACTTGAGAACAGGATTCTGACTTTGCTGTTAGATCAAACAAGTAAGCGTAGGATTGCCTTCTTTTTTAAGAAGATTGGTTTCCAGTATTTTCAGTGTAGAAGGCAAGGACTGCATCAGGAAAAGCAAAGATGAAGGTGAGAAATTGACAAGGACTTTCTGTTCATATCTTTATTCTAGTCTTGTGGCAATCCCTGTCTACGTTAAACACAACATCAGTTTCCGCGATAGCAGCTCACTGGGACGTTTTGAAATCACAGTGGGGCCGAAGCAGACTATGGGGAAGACTGTAGAGGGAGTGATGGTCACTAGCCAGATGCCAAAAGGTGTCTTAAATATGACCCTTACACCCTCTCAGGGAACACATATCTTTGATCCAGTTACAAAGGTGAGAGGAAAGAGAGAAATTAGATTAATTTTTTAAAATCTTTTCCTACCTTTCAGCAAATGAAGTTGAGCTCTTCATGCATACATGGACATTTCTTTGAACATTGCTTTTCTGAAGGCAGTATATTTTCTTGGGGTAGAACTTTTTCTGGACAATTGCATACTAGAAGTTGTCTTAATCCCCACCACAAATAGCTCAGTGTCTGAATGGATTGTAGTTCTGGTTGCTTGGTGTGTGCAGAAAATTCAAGAACCGGTAGTGTATGATGAGGCATTAGTCTGGTGGATGCTTTACAAGCTTCTGCATATCTAGTTGTCATGCCTAGTGCTGCATGTTAGACTTGGTCCTTTGCAAACACTGAGGATTTGGGTTGGTTAGTGGGTTTTGATTTGTGTTGGGGTGTTCTGGTTTTGTTGTTTGGTACCCCCCTCCCTGGAGTTCACTTTTTTTTTCCTTATTACAAATGTAAATTTGATGGTTTACCCACAGTAGACCCTCAAGCAACACTGCTTCAGCCACTTGAAAAGGAGGCAATTCTGCTTTATTTTTGTCACTGTTACACATAGGAAATGGGGCCTGTAGCACAAGTAGTGGAAATATCATTCATGGTAGGCTTTTGGGGAACCTCATGGAAAGAGAGAGAGACCAAAGGTCTGAGGCAGCTGCTTCTTAAGCCTGTACTGTGTCTGTCCAATATGAAAGGCAAGATACAAAGACATTTTCTATAAAGAAACATTAAAAGCTGTCATTGTAAGGGGACTCTTCTTTAGAGGGTGTTACAGCATTTGTGTTTCACTGCTGTATTTTCTGTTCCTTGAAGTTGCTGTCATGGGATGTGGGGAAAATAAACCCTCAGAAGCTGCCAAGCCTGAAGGGGAGCATGAGCCTGCAAGCTGGGACATCAAAACCAGATGAAAACCCCACCATTAATCTGCAGTTTAAAATTCAGCAGCTGGCTATATCTGGTAAGTGACTGTAAGGTCAGGTAAAGAAGCTGAATGTTCTCTGCTCACTCTGAAGTAGCTCTGCAGGCCTTCTGAAGTACATTCTATCTGAAACATGTTCTTGAAGTGAACAATCATGTGCTTTGAATACAGATACATGGATTTGTTATCTCTAATGCTCTGTGAAACAGCCAATCTATGTTTCCTTGCATTTCATGCTTACAGACGGATAAAGAATTTTAGGGTACAGATGTTTGTAAAGAATGATTCTGATAATTACTAGTTGTCAGCTTTTCTCCATTCTGTTTACTGCTTGCTAAAACTTTCTCCATGCTTTCTGCAGCTCTAGTATGATCTTCTGTTCCTTTATCCTGAAGGCCTGTCTCCTTTCTTTGTGGCAGCAGTCAGTCTTATGCTGTGTTTGTTTGCCTTTAGGACTGAAGGTGAATCGCTTGGACATGTATGGGGAGAAGTACAAGCCCTTCAAGGGGATAAAATACATGACTAAGGCTGGCAAGTTCCAAGTCCGAACCTAGAGGATCCTGATAGTGAGGAAGAGCACTTTCCTGTTTCTCCTGTCCCTGGCTGTTGGATGCAGCCTCTTACCCCATCCATCTGTTTAGGGTTGCTTCCTTACCTGTAGTAGCATGAGCAGGAGAGCAGAGCCAGTGCTTGGGGTGCGGAGGAGCAGGGAAAAATAAGGTTGACCTGAAACAGTCTCATTCATAGCTGAATCTGAAGTATTGGAACAATAGCAGATGGGAGAGGAGTTCAGGTACCTTGGGATTAGTGAGTCAGCTATGCAAGTTTGTATCACCTTCATTTGCTGTCTTAAAGGAAAGTCTAGGGATTTGCCTTTTTTAAACTCCTCTTCCTTGTATTTTGGTTGGCTTTTATCCCTTTGTAGATGATACAAAGTTGAATTTCCACAAACTTCAACTCCAGTGTGGTAACTGGCATCTGCCCTTCTCTATCACTGGGCATTGAGGTGGACAGATGTGTAGTTCTTGGCAGCAGAGAGATCATCTAGCCATTCTGCCTCAAAGGGACTGGAAGTAGTGGAAAGGTAGATTGTCCCACTCAAGATGGGAAGTTAAGAACCTTGAGATTGGGGATAGTGCCACAGAGGGAGGAAAGGAAGAAGTGGATGCTTTTTCTAGCTATTTCATAAGCCATCTTGGTCATGGAAATATCTCGAATCTTTGGAGATAGACTGGAAAGCCACCCAAATCTTAGTATGGTATCCTACGGAGGGCCGACTGTAGCATATGTGATCTTGTAACTGATGAGTGGTGACATCTGCATAGTGCTAAATCAGTAATTCTGCTTCTCTTTTTATTTTCTTGGCATTTGAAGGTAGGGATTCTCCTAGATTCCTTGGTGAGTCAGGGGAGAAACAGGCAGGAGAACTTTTGTGGAGATGTAGCACTCTGATGGAAACTGTGGCTAAATGAAAATGATCACTATCCTAGTAATTTGTTGGAAGCGCTTTTTGTCTCTGCCTGCCTATTACAAATGAAGTTGATACTGCTGTTCTCCTGCTCACTGATGTCTTTCTTGGAGATAACTGTGTCCCGGTACCTTTGTAGTGTTTTTTGCTGTCCTACCTCGTTCCAGTTCCTGTACCAATCAGCTGCTGTGCAGGTGGATTCAAGCCTACACTGGATTTTTCACTGGGACCATCTCTTCTGCAGGAGCTGTTGCTACATCTGTCCATTCCAGTCTGTGCTGTATCTCTCTGTACAGCATAAATATGAAATGAGAGACATAGCACTGTTCTGAATTGTTTGTAATGTACTCTTTGGCCATTAGATGCCAATGTGTCTTCTCTGTGGTAGCAGAACTTGTCCCTAAGCTGCTGTACATGTGACTACAGCATCTGTCAGGTGGCTGTGGAGTCCAGCATGTACAGTTCATGCTTGTGAACAAAACAAGGTGACCCTAAACGAAGCATAACTTCCATTCCGGTTTGCATGTGATGGATACTTGCAGTGGGCGAGTGCTATCTTGCGTGTGGAATTCCAAGTTCCAGTGCACCTGATGAATGCCACAGCAGGTGGCCTTACTGCTGAGCATGTTCAGTGCAAATATAACCTTCAGCAAGGGCATCAATAAAATACATTTTTACATGTCATCTGTGTCATTTCAGAGTGGTTTGTGTGGGCGTTACAAAAAATACAGTTAGTATTTGAGGAGGAAAGTAAATTATGCCAATTGGATTGTGGATAGTGGGTGCCTTTGGGAGATAAATGTCCTTATGCAATTGGGATTGTAAGCTTGGGACTAAGTCACTGTCTGAAAAGCCAAAATTAATTACTTTCTTGGTAATTTTTCTTACCCGTATCCCAAAATGAGTGCTGAACTTTTCCTAGAACCTCAGTGAAACTGTCTTTAGGAATGCAGCTGAACCATTTTTGTTTATCAGGTAGGATTTTGGGTGGCAGGCAAAGGGCTATGCGTTAATTATGAAGACAATTAAATACCTCTTCACCTTCCTGCTCCTACTGATACTGTCCTTTGGCTTTG